TACTATAATCCCTTAATGGGTGATCTAGAAACTATTGACCCTATAAGATCTCTACTGGTCACATGGTCAGGTACAGGAGGAGTCTTATAGCTGCTGGGCATGTATTTGTTGTGTTTGGAAAGCTGTGTGGCTTTTTCATTCTATGTGACAAAGGTACCACCTGCCTTACAGGCCACAGTCATGATACTTGAGTAGAAGTCACTGATCTAATACATATAGTAATCTTGTTGACTTGGAGTCCCTCAAAAGAGAGTAGGGACAGAATGATAGAGGTATGTTTTTGAGCTGACCAATAATGTGACAATGGTGAAGGGTCAGAGATATGCTTGTGGCTCCTGAGCTCAGTGTGTGAAAAAGGCTCCATTTGGAGCTCTGGGTTGACAAATTCACAATATGGAATGTAGGCTAAATTTCCTTTAATTATTCCCTATGTACTGAAGATTTCTTGGCCGAGATACCTGTATGTAACTTCCCGAGACTATCATAAGCCTTGGCCTTCTTTCCATATCACTCAACATGTCTAAGTATAACAAGAAAAAAGAACAACAACAAAGCAGAAATGTATCTGAACCTTTAGAAAAACAAGGAAAGTAGACACTGGCTTAAGGTGGCCAGCTTGGTCACTCTGCCAAACATCCAATACTGTGACACAGATTCATTAAAAAGAATTTGTGAGCTTTGCCCAAAGTCATGGATGCAGCAGCCTTTGGTTGCAGTTGTGCTAGGGGAATGCTTAAATGTAACTGTCTTCCTGAGAGGATGTTGAGCTCACTGAAAATGAGTGGTACTGGAGGTCTTTCATTGAAAATGCTACCAGTCCTTGCAATTATCCTCTTTCAAAGTAAACTAATTCTTTTCAATAACTGTATAGAAGAGCAACTTTTCATAGAGTAAGAAGCAGTGAGCTGCTACCACCAACAACTTAGGAAGATATTGGGCAGCTACAGGAACAAAAGAATTCTAGGATCAGCAGCTCTCCTCCTTTACCTTCTGACTGGATGGGAACCAGAGTGACCTGTGGACCCTACAGTTTTCAACAGCCTAGGACATACTCATGTATCATAACTATTTTAAGTTATCTTTCAATTTCCTACATACAGAGAAATGAAGCTGTAATTACTGAAGCTGAGTAGAGAGATTGCTCAGTGAGACACAAAATAAAACTAAGAACATATACAGTAAAAAAAAAACGAGAGCAATCAACAAACACCTTTTAATAGTAAATGTAAATGTTCATACTGTCAACTCTTCAATCAAAAGACACAGGTTAGTTGAGTAGATTAAGAAACAGAATCCACCTTTGTGATGTATACATATAAAGAAGCAAGAAGGTATAATGCCAGTGTGAAAAATACTATGGGTCTAAGATATTTATGTGTATGTGATGACAACATTACTCTTTTCTGAAGTGAAAGATTGTCCATAATTTAAATCTAGAGTTGATTTTTCTGAACATTTTAGTTATTATCAATGCATAATTGTGGTGCAATATATACATAAAGACAATCTGCCAAGATCCACTTCAAGATATTATGTAAGGGGAGACTTATGCTGTCGAAGGTCAATTGAAATAATTTAATAAATTATTCAGTGACTAATCAATAGAAACATTGATAATCCTCTGTTCCTTATGTTCTGTATTCGCTGTAATAAAACCATGCAACAAAAGGTGAGTCTTGTCTCTGGGTAGCAGATGGGAATCAGTAGGTTCTGGCTTTGCCCTCAGCAGAGCTACTACTTTGGTGGTAGTGTTCTAATAGCCTAGAACGCACTGAGATACAATGATACCCAACTTCATTTCAATGCCTTTCTTCCACAAAGTAATCCACTCCAACTTTGGGTCACAGAAAGTACTTCTGTGAACTAGAATCAGACAAACACTGTGAGATACACATTTCCAAAATTTCTTCTGTATCAGAGGCTGAGGTTTGGAATGTTCTGGCCAAGATCAAACATTACTTTTACATTCTCTATCACTCTGTCTCATCATTGAGGATGTCTCCTGATTTTCAGAGTGTGTCACTGAGCTGACAGGTTGACCAGGAGCTCTGGTGCAGGCAACTGCCATGTCCCTTGTTAACAACAGACAGTGTTGTACACAGGACCTGAACATGATGGACCAACCAAGCTGGATAAGCACTAGACCAAGGAAGGCAGATCTGTGTTAAGGATCACTCCTGACATCAGTCT